AAAAAAAAAAAAAAAAAAAAAAAAAAAAAAAAGAAAGTTACCACAGAATAGTTATAATATCCTCCGTAAAACGGAAAATACATGTGCAAATCAATTGTTTGACCAGAAGTCAACATACCCGGAAGAACCATTTGATCACCTTCTTCAGGTCCAAATTTTACCAAATTAACTGCAACAGCATTATCATTTGTTTATTCAACAAAACACTGGCTATGTAGAACAGCTAATTGCCAGTTAGTGCAAAAAAAGACAGAAATCTAAATTAAATGTAAATTTAATTTGTTTTCGCTGTTTTTTGATACATTAGGTTGTTAGGTTATTTACTGCTAACAGTGGACAAAAAATCTTTTTGTCTAAAGATTTTAAAAATTATAAATTACCTCCATAAATAGAATTAACTCCAGTTCCCGTAAATAAAGTGCCAGCATCTTGGCCAGGATTTATTTCTGAATTAAACCTATTTGATTGTCCGATCTGTGTCAAAACTGTGGGAAGCAGTGAAATAAAAAGTAAACTTAAACAGAATATAAGAAGATGAGATAGCCGATATTTCGGCATTGTGGATTGCTTTTTGAACAAGAAATAAAAAAGATGTTTATTTAGTGCGTAACGCTTCTGAACCTTCTTGTTCTGTAAAAAAAATAAAAAGTTAAAATTTTAACACTTTCGTATACAGCCGGAAAAGAGTTGCCGAACGCATCTGCTAATGGTTTATAAATGGTATAATTATGCAAATTTTTATTAATGAATCACGTTAAAGACGCCAACGCAAAAATCAAATAATTGTAGCATCAAAACTACTTTTGTCGGCGCTATTAATGTACTATGTAATACAATTAAATTAGTGATAAAAAGAAGAAAGTTTAAGATAAAAAAATAAGAGTGGAAAAAATATTGTTTTGAGTCCTCAAAAGTACGGTAAGAAAACAGTTAGGAATATCAATCTGAGAATAACAGAGTAGGCATATCATATTTTTTAATTATTATCTCATCTGTTCAGTACTGCTTAAAGGTGATATCAGCATTTCATTCCTGCCTTTTCCTTTTTCTTTCGTTGAAAATTTTAATTAGCCAACATTCTTCACGACAAGTATGGTTTAAAGACGAAAAGATTTTATTCTTGTACTAGATGAATTATTTAGATAATCTTAATAAAATAATTTGGTTCACAATACAAATACAAAATTTAAATTTAAAAAATAGTTCATTTTTCCACAATCACTGTAATAAGCTTGTACCGTAGTAGATAACAAAGTGGGTTATAACATTAGACATTTGAAGAGTTTATCGTTTCACATGACCACATTTTTTGATGACAGATTATGAAACTTGTTACAGTACACACCCTCTGTTCATTTTTCTCCGCATATACAACTTAGGCGAGCAATTAATGAACAACCACAGCGACAACACCAGCAAAAAAAAAATTTACATGAAAACCTATTGCAGTTGTCCTATAAATACGTATTGTAGAAGTTAATACAAAATATTTATAAGCTTTTTTGACAGAGATGACCATAAATGAAAAAAAAAAAAAACAAATTTAAGTCAAAAAAATAGGGAAAAGTTGTAACAGCAGAACAGTGAAAAACTGTTTGAATGACTGTATAGGACAAATATGATGTGCTCCTTTAAAAGCTGTCCATCTGATGGCATACCAACGACAATGATTCATCAATACCAGAAGAGATGGCAAGATAAAAAGCACATTAGGTTGGAGTAAAGTGAAGCAAAACGATAGAAGGTAAAAGAAGAAGTCAAGAAAACGATTTTAGATGATAAATCAAACAAAAAAAAAAAGAGAAAAAACGAATATTTGTTTTGCATTTGATCGTTAGCATATACCCTCATAAATTAAGTTCTTTGATTCTCAGAAAGCTTAAAGAGCTACATTTTTAGAAACATAATATTATATTACATTTGTGATAAATTTTTAATAGATCTGTGTTTTTTGATGCTTCTGTATTTGTTGCTACATTTTTTGTAAACATAAGTGATACATTCGAAGTGATTAGGTAATTTTACTTCAACATCATATATTCCATAAAAACTAGAATCTTTTTCACAGCTTACCAAAACAAAATGTTGTGCGCAGAACCCTGTAGTAAAAAACTGTTGAAAATTGTTCAGCTTTAAAACCTGCAGAAATCTTGCGCAGTATGGTGGAAAACAGCGCAAAAGAAAAACTGCAGTACTTAATATTTCATAAATATTTGTTTCTAAATATTCTTTTTAGAGTATCTACAAATATTGTCATAATCTCTGTTCCTCTATCCATATGCTTCAATTAACCGAATTAGCATATCAGATAAAAATAACTTTTGATTGCTTAAAGTACAAATTACAGAAAATTGAGTTGTAAAATCACTTCTCGTTGTTCTTCTGAAACTTTAATGTTTACTGTTTAAAGTATCGCTTTTTTTCTTTACTGATAATAATGATATTAATTTTTACTAATTTTTTCTTTTAAATTAAAACAAATTGAGCCTCTACAAAAAGTGTACCTTTTAGATTTTTGATATTTATTTATTGTTGTTAAAAGTGAAAATAAAGCTTTGAAAAGGTGATCAAAGAAAGTTGAAAAAAAAAGTCTCAAGAATTGGTTTTCTTTTCATTCTTTTCTCTGTTTTCTCTTCAGCACTGTTCTTTCTATAAGATAATGCATAGAAAAAAGAACAAAATATTAAAAAGTTAAAAAAAGTAAAAAAAAAATTATTTTTTCTTTGAAATTTTAGTAAAATTTGATTGGAAAAGAATTCAGCAATGATTTAAATATATTTTTTAGTTGTATTGATTTTGTATGCCTTACAATAAAAAAAAATTCTCTCCAAAAGCTAATTTAAATTACAAATTTATTGTCTGCTATTTTCTCTTGCAATGTCTTTTTTAGATTTCAACTTTTCTCTGCTTTACCATTTTATAGCATTTTGAACATATTTTAATGTAATTTTTCACTAATACTTCTGGGCAAATGTGTAATTTTAATCAGAAAAGCAAAAAAAAAAAAAAAAAAAAAAAAAAAAAA